AGATGCTCCATGCTGTCAGGGATGCGCAGTGCCGAATTCCCCGGGAGCCAGGCAGGTGGGGGGGAGGGGCCATGCGCACAGCGACGCGCTCTCCTTTGGAGGAGGAGTACGAGAGGAGGAGCTGCGTAAACATCAGCTCTCGGAGGTCCGCGCGCGCGGACGTCTGGCAGCGGCGCTGAACCCCTCCCTGGCGCGCGGAGCGCGCCAGGGGGCGGGGCTGGAGGCGCCGCCAGGGCCCGCGAGGCTCCAGCTGCTTCGAGGGGCTCTGGCGGTAGTCTGGGAGAGAGCCCAGGCGGCCGAGGCAAAGGAACGGAGCGCCGACAGACAGGCCAGACGTGGCCAGACAGCAGCGAAAGGCACTGGCTCTGCGAGGACCACACCGAGGTTGTGGCTCTGTGTGGCTTCGGGCGGCGGCCGCGCGGAAGCTGGCGATCGTGGCTGGGTGTGTGCACCGGTTCCTGAGGATCGCGCGCACGCCAGCATGGAGCAGGGGCACGTGGATCTGGCGCGTGGGCGCCAAATCCACAGATCGGGGAACGCACCCCCCAATCACGCATGGCGCCACTGCCGCCCCGTTCGGCGACACGGCGCGCCGATTCAGCACGGAAAGGGGACCCGTCGCTGATCCGCGTGCTCTACTCTTAGGTCGGGCATGTCCCTACAGGCGGATTTTGGACGAAAAAGTCAAAATAGTTTTGAACAAATATTCGAAAATGGCCAAGATTAGTCAAAACATCGCCCCCCGACTATTTTTCCTGTAGAGGGACAAGCCATTTCCCCGAGAGGAGGGAGGATCCGTGCCCGGAGAAGGCCCCCCGCGGGTGGCCCCCTCGCAGGCAGGCAGCCGAGAGCTGCCCGAGGCGCCGCCGGGGCGGTGCAGCGCAGAGCCGAAAAATCCGAGCGGACCGCACAGAATGAGTGCTCCTCCTCCTCGTCCTGCTGCTCCTCCTCCTCCTCCTCCTTCTCCTCCGCCTCCTCCTCCTCCTCCTCCTCCTCCGCCTCCTCCTCCTCCTCCTCCTCCTCCTCCTCCTCCTCCTCCTCCTCCTCCCTCCTCCTCGTCCTCGTCCTCGTCCTCCTCCTCCTCCTCCTCCTCCTCCTCCTCCTCCTCCTCCTCCTCCTCATGCAGTTGTTCGCCATCCCGCAGAGACCCGTGCCTCCCTCCGCTCCCCCGCTCACCCCCGCCGCAGAGGAGAGGTCCACCTGACCGCCGGGCCCCGCCAGGGCGCTGCTACAGCGCCCGGGCCGCGGAGGGAGGGAGGGAGGGGAGGGAGGGAGGGGAGGGAGGGGAGGGGAGGGAGGGAGGGAGGGGAGGGAGGGAGGGGAGGAAGGAAGGCGAGGAGGAGGAAAGGAGCAAGGGAGGGAGACAGGGAGGAGGAGAAGGAGAAGGAGGAGGAGGGGGAGGAGGAGGAGGAGGAGTAGGAAAAAGAAGGAGGAGAGGGAGGGAGGAGGACGAACGAGGAGGAGGAGCAGGGGGAGGAGGAGGAGCAGGAGGAGGAAGAGGAGGAGGAGGAGGAGGAGGACGAGGAGGAGGAGGAGGAGGAAGAGGAGGAGGAGGAGGAGAGCGGAGAACGAGGGAGAATGAGGGCGGAGGAGGAAGGGAGGACGAGGGACGAGGAGGGACGGGGGAAAGGATGATGAGGAGGGAGAAGGGAGGAGGAGGGAGGATGCTCGAAGGTGTATGGCCTAGGTGCGTCTGAACTCCATCGGTGGGACCACAAATGCGCACCCAAGCCAACACGGCTACACGGAACGCCTGCTGCGGCGAAAATGCCGCACCCACAGCAGCCGTGTGGCCACCTCACGGCCACTGAGGCGGAGCAAATTCCCTGTGCCGAGCAAAACCCTCATGCTACCGTCGTTTGCGAAATAAGCGCCCATCTCAGGTATCGGTGACAAGACGACATAGCTCGCCCCCCTTTCCCCCGCATTTCAAAGTTGACGAGGAAGCCGTGCCCCCACGCAGAAGTGGGCGCTGATTTCGCAAGACGTCGCGTTCCCTTTTGGCGCATTCGTTGGCCGACATTGAGATACGGGGCGCGAGGGCGGGGCGCTCTGGCCTTCTACAAGTGGGCGCTTCTTTCGCAAACGGCGGCAGGATGGGATGCCTGTGCCTGTCCGTCCACAAGGGTGGCCATCCAGGCTGACACGGCAACCTGCTGAACGCCGCCCACGGGGGGGGGCCTGCCGGCTCCTCTGCGCGACTCGAGAGCCGAGATGCAGCATCCGGTTGGTGCAGACCGAGGGCCCCGCTGGGCGATCTCAGCACATTGCTGCCACCAGCTTCCGCCGAGGTTTCGCCCAATGCGTGCTCACGCGCGGCACGAACAAAAACTGTTGGAAACTGCCGCGCCCGCAACGGCTACTTGGACCATCTTGTGGCCACAGTAAGGCGGACCAGAACTCTCGGTGCCCGGCGCATCCTCTCTGCGAGGGCGGGATGCCCATGCCTGTCCATCAATTGGGATGGGCATCCTGGCGTTAGCCACGAGGGACCGACTCC